GCAGTCGTTTCTCCTGCGCCCCCGAAGGCCAGGTACCACGTTCTGTCTCGAGTGTGGGGCTCCTCAGGCACGGCTTGGAAGTTGACCTCAGATGTAGGTTAGAAACACCGCCCAAACCACCTGCTTACAAAACGGCAACAAACACCCAAAACTGAAGCTTAAGGCACCAGGAATCCTATTTCACGATGTTCATCCAGTGGTGGATTTTCCCCTCATTCTTTACTTCCGAGTTTGAAACCTAAATATAACAGCTCTGACAAGGGCCGCGATTCCCTGACAGTGGGGAGGAGAGGGCCCGGGGGATCTTGGAGAAGAGCAGAGCCAGTATCATAATGAGGGGTGGGCGAGCGGTGCACTGGCCCCGGGCTGGGGTGTAAGGGGCACCCGAATGGCAGCCCCCAGAAGAGTCTGTCCTGAGGCAGCACCAGCCCCGTGCCACAGCAGAGGCGTCAGCTGGACGTGGGGACGTTGCAGCACCGCCGCAGCGGGGGCTGGCAGACTGCGCTGCTGCAGCGCGGCCAGGACAGGCAGGACTGGCGCGTGCTGCACTCCTCCCTCCAGTGGTCTTGCCCAGGGTGTAAAACTTGCTCGGTATGCCTGAGTGGGGCTATCTGCTCTCTTCAGTCAGGAGGGAGTACGGCTTTAGCTTTATATTTCGTAGAATCAGGCAGTGAGGGCCGGGAGGGAGCTCAGGAGGTCACATCTCGTCCAACCCCCTGCTCCAAGCAGGACTGGTCCCAGCTACGTCATCCCAGCCAGGGCTTTGTCAAGCCAGGCCTTAAAAACCTTACTGTCCTGTCCTATTTCTTACTATGCTTCCGTGCGAGCCGGGTGTTTGCAAGCTGTTCCCCCTCCCCACAGCTGCATCTCCAGGATCCCCATTCCTCTGTTGTGTTAAGTGCAGATGCCTGTTATCGTATGCAGTCATTTGACAGAGTTTGACATCGCTGCCCTCAGGTAGCATTGGACCAGTGGTCCTCAGCCTCCAGCCCATGGGCTGAATTTGGCCCGTGGGGCCATGTCATCCAGCAATTAATGTTGCTGCTGCTCCCCTGCTGCCAAATTTCTGGACCCGTGGGGAGCCCCATGGACTGAATGACATGGCCCCATGTACTGGATCAGTCCAGCGCATGGGGTTGCTCTGTGGCTGGATCACACCCAGGGACACACCCTGTTCACCAACCCCATGCTAGATCAGGCCTGTGGACCAACCCTGCCCGCGGGATCTGCCCTGCAGACCAACCCTATGCCACTCATCCAGGCCTCGGGACCAAGGGGTTGAGCATCACTAGACTGTCTGCTCACGGAAGCAGCCAGCCAGAACTTGCCTTGTGGCACAGTCGTCTTCATTGCTTTTGGAAAAGATACAAGGATATTCTAAGTATAATGGCCAGGAATATTCAGAGTGACACTGTAAGGTGTACTGTGGGAATAATTAACCATTTACTAATTATTCCAGACCATCTGGCTCTGACCCTCTTGAACACGCATCCAGAGAGTGCAGGTAGCAGAGCAATTAAGGATCACCATGTATGCAAGCAATGATAACGCTAGCGTTCATACTGCTCTTTACACCTTCCAAAAGTAGGGCAAATAAACGACAGATCCCCTCAGTCCCTCTCGGAGGTGGCCGGTGTCATGATGTCGTGACTAAGCCAAAGAGATGACAGTTAGAATTCCCAAAGGCTGAACTCCTGTTGTGCTTTTGCCGGTGCCCATCTGTACCCTCCTGGCACGCACACTTCCAAGTGCACCTCCTTGACCTGAGGCTGGCTCACCCCAGTCCTATCTGAGCAGGGCTCTCTTTCCTTTGTCTTCTGGGCAGGGCGAGAATGGCGCCAGAGAGCTGGAAAGCATGCAGTCGGATCGCATGAAGGTGCTGCAGCTCAACGTGTGCAGTGACCAGGAGGTGGCTCAAGCTGTCGAGTTTGTGAAGAAGAAACTGAAGGAGCCTGAGAAAGGTAGTGAGGAGAGGGCTACACACTGGGGACCTCTGTTCTTTAGGCTACTTGGGTTTTTAATTCACTACCATATTTCTTTGCTAAGGAGGAGTTAAGAGCAGTGCTATACAGCAGGCGGTCTCAGCTTTGCATCTCCCACAGCACAACTCAAAGCCAAAAACAGGAAATACTTTTCATGCAACACGCAGAAGGCCTTTGCTCTGCCCCTGTAAGGTGCCAGCCTGCAGAGACATGGTGCTTGCACTGTAACGCTATGTAGTAGTTAAGTGCCACTAAGCACCGAAGGCCTCACTCCTTGGATATGTTGTATGGCAGCTCGGGTCTGGACAGTGGGGAATACCTCCCTGCAGTGTGAGGTGCCTGGCCAGACAGGATGAGACCGGGATGGATCTAGCGGGGTGCAGTGGTGCAGCTGCACACCCCATTGATTCCTGCTCCATCCAAACTTTAAAACCAACTCCCTGGGAGGGAGAGAGGCGTTTCTATTCGGGCAGTGCTGAGAGAGTCAGTGGACTTCATTGCTCATTATAATCTACACAGTTCCTTCTAAACTCTTCATTCCACAGGTGTTAGTGACCCGCTCTCCTTTTTAATGGTCTTGATAGTTTACCAATCAAGCTAACCTTTCTTCTGCAGTTCTGCTGTCTGAGAGCTGCTCCTGGTAATGGAGCTCCTATTTCACAGCCCTGCAGATTGTTTTTAACTCTAGCCAAAAACAGTAGCTCAGGTGTAGAAATAACTTTCTGTGAAGCATTGCATTCACTGTCATGCTGCTCAAGAAGGCTAGATCTTGTTTTATGAACCTGAAAAAGAGATGTCCATTTAATTCTAATGACTGCAGGACTAATGAAACTACATTTTCTGATCACTTTTCTTAGTTTGTTGTGTTTTTTTGCATAATATATATGATATAGCACATGAATGCACATGCCAATGCATGTATATTTGTTTTTGCTCTGATCATAAACTAAGAAGCGTAGTCCTAGGCCACTAGTTTATTAGTAAAGCTTCTAGTTTCTTTTAAACTTGATAAACCTGTGTGTCGTGCTATATATGATGATGCATCACACCGTCTACACTCCCCTGCCTTTAGTCCTAGACTAAGGACTTCACTAGAAGCAGCACCCAGCACTACTGCTGCCTCTGGTACTGCAAGAGGGAGTGAGTGTGAAAGTCTGCAGGAGCAAGCCCCTCACTTTTCTCTTCCACATAGCTCCATGACAGAGACATTTAGCTGGAGCCTCTGGCATCTTGCAAGCAGCGAATTGTGCGCAGGGATGGGGAGTCTGATCCCACCTAATTCATGTTTTAGTGAGAGCCCTCGGTTGCAAGCTTATATAATGGTATGTGGCTGACTAGCAACAGAATCTGATTAGGGATTAACTCGTTTTTCATGTCCTTCAGCCTGCTAAACCTATTATACAAAGGCTGGTTACTGGGAGACCTGGGAACCAAGTACACCTCAGCCAGAGTTCGCTGTGGTCTGGGGTAGGTCAATCATTGCCAAATGCACTCAGTGTAACTCTCAGCACAGTTCACTATCTCCAGTGAAGATTAATTCAAGATTACCTGATTTAATCTGTGTTTCCTTTCCCACTATTACTTATTACCTGGCTATGGTGGTCGGCCCTCAGGATCCTACCTCTTTGTGTTTCAGCCCCTCTTTGTGCTGGGTGTTGCACAAACACACGTTTAAACACTATCTCGGCCCCACAGAATAGTCTGGTTTAGGATAGCAATTAACAGGTGTCTGTAATTCAAGGACCAGGTGTGGAAACAGCATGGGTGGCAGAATCAGGGACATGGGGTGGCCTGGATGTACAGGTTTCAGTTTTGGGGAGGGGGTATTATATAAACACTGGACTAAATGGGCACGCGGTTTCAGTGGCTGAGCCAGCAGGCTATCTGCCGAGCCACTGTCCTCATGCAGCCGCTGGGGCCATCACAGCAAAGCTGGAAGTTCAAAGGCCGTTGCCATGAAGGAAGACAGGGCAGTGGCCACGCAAGCGGGACCAGGGAGAGCTGTCCTAGCAAAGAAGCACCTTCTTCCGCACTGCGTCAGGAAGTCAGACGGCAGGAGCCTGCCGCGGCTGGCTGGGCCGAAATGTCCTGTAATGAAACAGCACACCCAGGTCCGAGCCATCGAGGTAACGAAGCTGTGTAGAGGGCAATGCAGCTGTAGGAAGGATGAGACGAGGTGTTTCCAGCAGGACTAGGAAGAGTTGTACCCCTGCAGTTGTACGAGGCACCGGTGAGACCATACCTGGATTACTGTATACCGTGCTGGGCGCTCAGGTTTTAAAATGGATTTAAATGGGAGCAGACGGGAGCTAGTAGGACAATACAAGTACGAACAGACAGAATAGCCTAAACCCTACAGTGCCACATCCTTGTCTTCCTCAGTTCAGAAAATTTTGAACTGGAAAATTTTCCAATGCCCTAAATAGGGCATGATCTGATTTAGCAAGTTTATTAGACTTACATTTAGTGAACAAAACTAAAAAAATGCCCCCATGTAAATTTGATGTCCCAATAGCCACAAGTATTTGAACAGAAATATTTGATTAGGAAAAAAATTAAATACAGCACACTTAACGTGGTTTAAATGGTATATTCAAACAAATTCAAAGCTTTACGTGGAAAGAAATTATTTTTATTGGAATACTTGTAACGATGTAAAGACGACGCACAATAGCATGTCCTTCCCTTACGTCGTTCATCTAAATTTAAGAACAAAACCGAGGGCACGGAAAGCTGTTGCCACACTGGTTGTAGCACACCCAAGGATCGGGATCTGCGCACAATACGCCGTGCTTTGGTTTGGATTTGACCTGTGCAGCCAGTTCGGTGAATTCGTGTTTTGGTTTTGGCTTTTATGTGCGTGTGGAAATGCAGAATTTCCTACGGAAACATAAAGCACTGGGAAATGTCCAGCCCCACATCTCTGCTCCCAGCCCAGGAACGAGGGGGTGAGCCCCTCCGGGCGGCACCCACCATGGTGCCCGCTTGCCTCCGTCACTCCTGTGCTGGTGCCCACACCCATGCCCCCCTGCAGCCCTGGGCCTCCTCGCCACCTCGCGGGGGGTCCCACAGCCCCTTGCAGCCCGCCCTGGCCCTGGCCCTGGCGCAGCCACCATCTTGTCTTGCCAAGCCCTGAGGGAGCGCTCGGCAGCCATCTTTAGTAGGGGCAGCCTGGCCTCGTGCAGACAGCTGTGGCCAGAGGCGATGACTTTTACTTTTGCTGGGGGGGCATTAAGATGACGGCCACGTGGAAAGTTTTACACATTTGAGGTGATGGCCCTCTTCTTGAGCGGGGCAGGGCCCTCAAACCCCCACGTACTCAGCACCTGTGCATGGGGAGATGGTGGCCATCTTGTTGGCTTCAGCCCCATGGACAGCAAGGGGAGACAGCCATTTCAAGTGAGGGAAGATTGGCGGGTGGGTGCCCCTTGTCATGTTGCAATAAAAACACGGAGGGGGACGTCGTGGGCACCAGCCCGAGTGGGCAAGCAGGGGTGCACAGGGCCAGCGCTGTCTCCAGGGCTGACGCCCGGCTGTCACGATGGTGCCCCGGGCTGACAGGCAGGAGCGTCACAGACTTGTTCTTCATTGGCAGGCCTCTGGGGCGTGGTGAACAATGCGGGCGTGACGACCTTCGGGGACGTGGAGTTCACCCGTCTCGACAAGTACAGAGAGGTAGCGGACATCAACCTCTGGGGCACGGTCAGGGTGACCCAGGCTTTCCTGCCGCTTGTCCGCAGAGCCCGAGGTACGGGCAGCCTGGGGCGCGGCGGAGGCAGGGTTGGGGTACTGCCGGGCAGCGGGCAGGATGACGCGCATGGCACGGGCTATGCCGCAGTGGTGCTGGGGCCACCCCAGCAAAACCACTGCAGGACCGCGCGCCGCACTCCCTCCGCACGCCGCGGGAGAAGTCTGGAGACACAGCCCCTGGCAGGGCTCCCGGCAGAAGGGATAATTAACAAGGGGTCCATCACGACACCTAGACGAAGGACCGCTGTGGATCGTCGGGCGCTGGGACAGGCTGCCTAGCCCGGCTCTCGGGTCTCTGTCCCCGGATGTTTTCAACAGCGGGTTGGACAGACATTAGGTGGACGGGGTAGTCCGAGATGACCCTGCCCGGAGCAGGGGCTGGCCGAGATGACCATGCAAGGTCCCTTCAGGTCCTGCGTCCCCCTGGTCCTAGACAAGGGGGGTGGGAAGGGACCTCACAGAGACGGCATAGCGCTCTTAGCTACACAACGCATGCAGGTGTTGGGACGGAGGGCTCGAGGCCGGCCGTTGCAGGAGTACAGAAAAAAGTGTGCGAGATTTCAAGCCCTGGCATCTTGGCGTACTCTCTGGCCACGTACAACTCCTTGTTACTGAAACAGGTGCCAAGACTTTCAGTGCCTGTTCAGAGAAGGCAGTTGAACCCATAGCAGCGGGCACCCCACCTGGGAAGATGAAAAAAGGAGCCACGGGTTCAGGATGCCTCCCTTTTATTGCAGCTGAGCAGGGACGTATTACAGCCTCTTCCCCCAGTTTGACAGGAAATGTCCAGCCTGCTTGTGTACTTGCGCAGTCCTGGACGTGCTTGTGGA